GTATATGTATGTATATATATGTATATGTATGTATATATATGTATATGTATGTATATATATATATATATGTATATATATATATATATATATATATATATATATATATATATATGTATATATATATATGTATGTATATGTGTGTGTGTGTGTGTGTTTATAAATATTAAAATTATGTAGAAATAAGGAGTATCCACTTGAAATGTTGTCATAAAATAAGAAACAAAAGGCATGCACAAGACTAATCACATTGAAATGTCGTAAATAATGTTTCTTAGATGCTATGATAAACCCAATAATGACTAAGTTGAAATACAATTGGTGGGACTTGTAGGGCTTGGTTGTCTAGACAAAGGATTAGTTACTAATGAGATTTCACACCAACAAAAGAGAGACTTTGGAACATGGAAGGAGGTTATTTTCTGCATGAAAGAAAGGGGCAAAAAGGCCAAAAAAATGCTACTTCTGATGTCACTATGTTTAAGATTTTGTCAAATTTCATATTTCTGATCAAAAAGGTATGTGCTTCTCAAGCAAAGATTTGGTATCCATGCGGGAGACCATGTAATGCTGTTGGTAGTTAACATAGGAATATGCCCATTAGACCCAACACAAGAACCTTGTGATCTCGAAGTAATGCGAAAGCACACCATCATAATTTCGTTTGTACGAATCAGAAATCTGTCCCCAAAAGCAAGCAGAGACTTAAAGGCATTTTTTCCCAAAAAAATCAAGGATTTTGAGCTAATTCTTTTTGTGTGCCTTCGAACCGAAGCGGCCACTCAATTCATCAAACACATGAAGGGCCAGAATAGGGGATGAAAGACGATCAAAAGGACAAAAACGAAGATGGAATCAAAGGGGAAAAAAAAGCAAGGAAGCATGCATCAGTACTCACAGGGTGCCAGTAGTTCTTCCTCCGGCGCTCCAAGAGGGGGGTGGAATGGAAGAAGGAGACGGGCATCGGCGAGAGGGGAGAAACGGGAGAGCCAACGAGAGCGGATCGCAGCACACGATTCATGATCGATTGGGAGAAGATGCGACGTACGAGAGGGAGAGAACAGAAGGCGGAGAGGCGACCGCCTCTTCTCATCTTCTCAATCCGCGGCGACCGCGAGGGGCCATTTCGGTGCCGGTTTGCTTCTGCTGCGGCTCCGACGAGAGCGGATCGCAGCACACGATTCATGTTCTCGCTCCGAGGGCGATTAATGAACCGTCAAAACGGACCGGACCGGGCCACATTGAACCCGAATCCGCTCTATTTCCGATTGGGCTTAGCCTATGCACATTGAACCCGGACCCGACTTGGAGATTACGTGGAAAATAATGTTATATATATATATATATATATATATATATATATACATATATATAATTCTACTGTTGCAGATATAAAAGGGACAGGGCAGGCGGAACAGCCGGCGGAAGCGCGGGGAGGACCGCCCCAACTCCTTCATCCCCTTCCTCCCATTTGTCGCCTTCCCCTGCCTCCTCCCTTGCCTTCTCCTCCTCCCCCTTCCTGCCTCTTGTCCTCTTCTCTCTCTCTCTCTCTCTCGCGCGCGCGCGCTCGCTGAATCCTCCAGGCGTAGAGATGGCGCCCCTCAAGGAGCTTCTCGCGCAGGATAGCTTCTGGAGGAGGAGGACGAAGACGAGACCCACAGCAGTAACACGAGCTAAGAGTATGCCGCCTAACCCCGGGGAACGCAAAGGAAAGGCCAGAAGTCATGAAGTCGCCTATGAGAAGTCGAACACTGTCACACTGCAGGAAGAGGCAGTGTGCTTCGAGGTGGATATGCAGCCAGCAATCTGCGATGCTTCAACCCAGGCTGTGGTTTCCATCTTAACCGGCTACGTCGAAGCCTTCCTCAAGCATGAAAGCTTCCGTGCATCGCTTCGTCGTCGTTGTAACGCTTGCCTCGGCATCGCAAGCGAGCTTGGAGTCTTCGCCGAGCTCGAAGAAGCCATTGCGATGATAGAGAGGGTGGTTGAAGAGCGCAGGGGCGTGAAGAAACTACCGAAAGTTTCTCTAAAGCTCAGCGTCATCTCAGGGTTCACTGCTGGTTTTCCCAGCTCACGTCTCTCAGCGTGCGCCCATCTCTACCTCAGTGTGATCTGCAAGATACGGAAGGAGGATAGGATGACCGCGGATCATCTTCTCCAGGTCTTCTGCACCGCGCCACTGGAAGCACGGACGATCCTATTACCCGACTTGTGGAACCAGCTTTTCCTTCCACATCTCTCTCATCTGAAGGCATGGCATAAAAAAGAAGTGGAATCCATCGCGCAAACGCCGTGCGGGGCGAAGAAGATGAAGCTGCTCGATAAAATGTATGATGATGTGATGAACAGAGGCACACACATCTTTGCAGTTTACTACAAGGAATGGCTTATCGAGGCGAAGAAAGCTCCTTCACTTCCCTCCATTGACGCCCCTTCTGCATCTTCTTCAAGAATGATACAACGAGGATCTCATGCAATCCATCGGGACGACGTTTACAGCCCAATGGTGAGCCAAAAGTCCTATGAGGCTGTTCTTGGCCAGTTGAAGAGAATGGAGGCAGCTAATGAACTGAGAATTAAAGGAAGTGATAGGGAAGAGGAGAGAAAGAAGGAAATTGAAGTGGATCAGAGTGTTTTAGGAGAATATAAGGGATCCAAGATGATCAATCCTTATTCAGGAAAAAGAGATCATTTAGGTGGAGAATCACAGCAAAGTCAGAGGCTAAATGCATATTCTAATGTAAGTAATCATTTTAGCTATACTTATCAGTATCCTCTGAAGAATCTCACTGTGAAATCTGATAACAATAACCTACCATATCACGTGCTCACTGTTCTTGCTCCACAGGCTAAAACAAATGAGCATACTCTTGGTGAACTGGCACAAGCAATCTTTGAAATGAATGCAGTTGATTGTTCTTCAGCCTGCAACAACTGCCAAGATAACAATGTGAGTAAACATGTTTTCACTGAATTCTGGACTGATATGACTCCTAATTGGTGGCACATTATGCTGCTTAAACTTAGGTATCATTAAGCAAAGTCCAGATTACAGAACCTGACTTGAAGAAAACAGCACATTTGTGTAGGAAATCTGATCAAAAATCACCAGTGCAGAGCATTAGGTACTCATCCATTGATCATATTCATCATGAAATCTTTAAGGAGCTCTCATTTAATGTTATCATAATACTTTTCATAAGCTTAATATTTTCTTCTTTTCCTGATAATCCATATCGATAAGTTCTAGATTAAGAATCTTCCTTTTTTCTCAGTGCAGAGCCATTTGATGATTGTGAAGACATTGGTTTCTGCTGCATTTTCTCAAATGATTCTAAAGATTATGTGTGTCCCTTAAAAGGTCAGCTCTTTAAAGAACCTGTAACCATAGAAACTGAGCATATATTTGAGAGTGTGGCCATGAAAGAGTGTCTCAATCAAGCAAAAGCCAGTCCTGTAACAGGACAGCAGCTGAGCTGCCAATCTGTGCCAGATACCAACTCTGTGTTGAATCAATTGGTCGATGGCTGGGTATCTGAGAATTGTTGGAATCTCCTGATCATTATGGCACAATTAACTAAAAATGAAACTGAAGGAGACAAGAAATCCAAGGATGATTTAGCATTAGAAATCGTTGACAGGCTTCTTGCAGGTTGTGGCAAAGAGGAACAGATGGAAAATGCAAGAAACCTCATTGCTCTTGGCGGTTTACGATTTCTGATACACAGGTTTGAAACAGGGAGCTTCAATGTGAAAACGCGTGTCATTGGATTCTTGTTGTGCTGCATCAACGCGAAAGGCTGGTGCAGGAATTACTTGGCAGATAACCTGAAAAGATCTTCTGTTCTTGAGCTTCTCCATAGCAAGCAAATTAGTGCGAGGACCAATGCAGTGTTACTGCTAATTGAACTGATTTGTTTGAGTAGGTATGTTTGTATGATCAACACTAATGCCTAATGCCTTATATGCAGCAGGATTTCTTGAACTTCTCTAATGTGTATTTGTTGTTGAAAATTGTACATTACGGTTTGAGTAATTTGAAGAGTAAATTCTGTGCCAATATGAACTTTCTAAGATTGTCCAATTTGCTTTGAAGGCAGTATTTATGTGTTATTAAACTTATTATGGTCCTCATATGAAACAAATGTTATCATAGAACTTCAATTGTACTCCTTTGCATATTTTTTGTCAGTTAATCTAGATTAGTTTCATCATGAATTGTAGGTTATATATATCTAGTTGAGCCTTGGAGGCATTACCATTGCTTGCAATTTGCCAACGTCTTCTGATCATTCTTTTTATTTCTGCACATCACAGAAGAAGAGACATCACATCATTCTTAAGTGGGTTGCTGAAGGAGACAATTGCAAACACAATGCATGCGTTGCTTGTGCATCTTTATAGCTTACCAGCACAAGAAAAAGCTTTGGTTGCTGTTCTTCTGCTTCATTTTGATCTTGTGGTATGATCATTGACTACATTTCTTTTCTAGATTTAATGCATGTTTAGTGGCCACTACATATAGCTCTGACTACTATTGTTAATTAAAAACATCAGTATGTTTTGGGACAAATTGGCAATATGTGATCTCATACATCTTTAATTCAGCCATTCAAAAGATTTCATCAAAGTGCCAGACTTACAGTAACACCCTTCCATAGCATTCAATGATCACATTCATCAATATGAATATACAAATTACATAGTTTTGTTAGTTAAATCTTTTGATTAGATAATGATTTCTAGTAGAAAACAATCATAGCTCCTTGCTGGATTTAAATTATTTTCCTCGAATATTTTCTATCAAAAACATCTTATGATGACCTTTGGCTTCTGTTCTTGAGAGTGTTTAATTGCTTGTTGATTGTCAGAGAAAATTTCTACTTGTCTGTACATGAATCCTCTCCATGAATACAATCTCACCTTCATGTCCAAAACTATAGGACATGGAATAACCTTGCCATTATGCTAAGTTTCATGCCATAAATCATTAGATTTCCTAGTGTGTAAGTTTAAGTACGTGCACATTCTACGATAACAACCAGAAAGTCATAAAGTTTCAACTATTTGGGGCCAATTGCATAAATATTTTGTCACCATTGAGATTTGTAAAATATTATATCCTCAGCGAAGCTATGAGTATTAAAATATTTATATATGGTTTCTATTAAAGTCCTTTTAGATCTCCTTTTATCTATCCTCGTACCACTAATTAATTATTTCAATTTTTTGAACTATAACCTATGTAGGTCTATACTATTTTAAATGATTCTCTCTTGTTTTATTCTTACTTGCAGTAATCAAGAGGAATATAATATCTTTAAATTTTTTGTACTGTAATTTCTCTTTCCAGTAAAGATTGAAATTTTGTACCATACTAATATATTGAGCAAAGCTCGATACATCGGTACGGTACGGGAGTACCGAGCGGTATGCTAAGGCATACCGAATGGTACATCTAAATATATATATACAATATATATAAATATATTTTTATATAAAAATATAAAAAAGTAATATAAAAAATTAAAAAGGAGGCGTACGTTGCCTCGGCGATGTTGCCTCCTCTTCTCCTAGTTGCCTCTAACGAGGAGAAGAACACAGTCTCCTTCATCTCCTCATCTACGGCGTTCGGCAAAGAAGGCGGTGAAAACGTCGAAGGCTGGAAATGTCTTTGGCCTTCAAGGAAGAATGCAGTGAAGAAGCCATAGAATTGTAGACGAGGTGACGAAGGAGACTGCCTCTTCCGCTGCTCTAGCCGTTGCTTGGCCGTTATCCCCTGGATTGGGATCGTCGAGGGAGGGCGACGCCGGATCAAGATGCGTCGAGGTTCTCTCAATTCTCCCTCTTCTTTGAACGCTCTCTCTTTCTTCCTCCTTCTCCCTCGATGCTTCTTCTTCCCTCGCCGCATCCAGGTTGATACCACCAGGTAGCGGGCGGTCATGGTCGAAATCGACCATTACTGACTTGTTTCGGGTGGTAACAATCGAAATTTCGATCGTTACCGCCTGATGCAACCTCATATCGTTCAATACGGGGCTATATCAAGCATTCTACCCGGTACGTGTGGTATCATTCGAAATTTAGAACCTTGCTTTCCAGGTCCTTTAATATGATATAACAAATACGATTGTGCATGTTTTGAGTCCTATGAATTCATTGAATGTTTGTGACAC